CATCATTGTTGTTTGGTGGGCCCGGGCTGGATTCGAACCCCCCACCTTAGGTGTATGTGGCTGGCGCCTTAGCCACTTGAGCCATAGGCGCCGAGCCCAGGCTCTTCCGAAGCCTCTGCTCAGTCCTTTCTCTGACCTTCTGCCTCCTGTCCTCGGCATCCATGGGGCCAGGGATAAGCCACCCCTCCTCCAGGTTTCTCTTTTCCCCTCTGCATCCTTCTCAGAGGATATTTGTCACGCTGGTCCCTCTGGAGCAAGTGCTCTGAACACATCCATGCACCACCACTCATTCATTTGCTCCCCATGCCAATTGCCTGGTTGTGTAGGACAGATAAGATCCCTGCCCTGATGGAGCTCATAGCCCACCCAAGGGGGAGACATAAAATAAGCCAATAAATAGGATAAACTTGAGTAGTAATGTAATGAAGGGACTAAATCAGGTGACATGATGGAGTGTGGGAGTATATTTTAGATTTGAGTGGTTGGGAAAAGACCTTTGGACTAAGACCAGAACAGCTCTGGCAGAGGAAGCAGCATGTGTAAAAGTCCTGGGGTGGGTTAGGGCTTGAAAATTTTAGAGAATGGAAAGGCCAGTGTGGGTGGGCTGATCCAAACTCCCACCCATCCTGTATGAGTATGGTAGCCTCTCTGAGGCTTCCTTGGCTCACCATCCATCCTTTCTTGCAGATTCAGCTCCACCCAACTTCCACACCTTGGTGGTGATTCCCGTTCCTACTCCACACTGGATTGTGATCAACTATTTATTCGCTGGACTGGGAGCTTTGGGAAGACGAGTCTCCTCCCTAGCCAGCACTGCTCAGGCATGCAGCAGGTGGTGAGCAATGAGCATTGTTTGATGAATAAATAAATTATTCGAAAGATGAATGAAGGAGGGAGAGAATGAATGACTCCAAGGTCCAAATGGCTCTCTGCTTTACTTAACTGTCACAGTCCCCTTATTTTAAACTGCACCCCCATGACCCCATTGCCTTATTATAGGGTATGTCACTGTTTCATCCATCATACAGCAGGCTTATTTATTACGTTTCCTGTTTCCCTCTAGCTCCCAGGGCAGAACATAATTCATGGTGTCAGGAATCTCTGAGTGGGTGTCCACTAAGGTACGCCAAGCCTAAGAAGGAACCAGTGAAGGGACGCATGGGTAAATAAATGAATGAACAGCAGTTCTTAGCCTCATAGAACAGGAGTCGCAAATCTCAAATGCCCCGCTACGCTGCCCATAACAAACTGAGATGAAGTTCTGGGCTGCGACTTGTTCAAAGACTAAACATGACCCAAAAAACCGCTCAATAGCCCGGGCCAGTTTGCAGTCCCGGGTACTGAGCAGAATGTTCCCACTTTGTTGATGGAGAAACTGATTAGGTAGTTTAAGTGGCCTGCTGCAGATGACAGAGCGGGTGCTGTAACGGTGGTTGTCTGCTCCACACCCTCCTCCCCAGTCCCTTCCCGGTCGGTCCCCTCTCTGACGCAACTCAGACCCCACTTCTGGGAGTCTGTCATTCTCCCGCGGTCGGAGGGCAGAACCTAGTGTACTTGGGAGTAGCGTGCCCTCTCCTGTCGCGGGATGCGAAGGGAGTGCGCTTCTGGGTCCCCTAGTCCCTGGGAGCCGGGCTCCCGCCGCCCCTGGGCCCGCGCTGCGCTCCCGCCCCTGCCCACCCCCAGCCGCGCTGTCAGTCTCCATTAGCGCTAACAGGCTCCAGACCGAGCGGGCCGGGCGCTGGGTTAATGCAATCGGCGCGTTACCTGGGGCGCAGGCTACATTACCAGTCCGGCCCCCGCTCGGCGAGGCCAGAACCAGCCAGCCCGCGCCCCGCCGGCCATCCTGCGCCTCCAGCGCTTCCCCAGCCGCGCCCGAGCGCCACGCGGCGGAGCCCAACCCCAGGCCGCGCCCCAGAGCCCGCCGAGGCGCGGCGGGTCGGGGGCAGGCAGGGCGCGCGGCACCCGGGACCCCCTCTTCTCCGGACACGTGAGTGCGCCCTGCGTGTGGGACCAGGCTAAGTGTGACCGGGAGAGGGAGGCCCGGGCCGGGACACGCGAGCGGGACTGGCCGTGAGTTTGTAGTGCACAGGTGTAAGTGTCCGGGAAGGCTCCGGGGCTGTTGGAAGTGGTGCAGTCCCGAGCTGGGGATGCGGGCGGCGTGTCGCACGACCCGGGGATACCTCTGTCTCGGTGTGTCCAAACCCGGCCGTTTGGGGGAGCGAGAGAGCTGCGGGGAGAGCGCTGCGGGGTCTTCAGCGGGACTCATAGGGCCGTCAGAGGTTGTTGGTCTCCAACTTTGAGTTCGGTCACAGCCGGGTGCTCTACCTGTGTTTCCAAATATTTTCCCACAAATGCGCGCCCTTTTCTGGCATCCCAGGAGGTGCAAACAGTCGGGTGCCCACCTCTTTTTCCTTTATTCAAGCAGACGCTCGGTGTACCAGGACCACTGAAGTCGCTCTAACCAACCGCACCCATGCTCCTGGCGCGGATGAACCCGCAGGTGCAGCCCGAGAACAGCCGGGAGGACCTGGGGCCGGAGCAGCCCCTGCGGGCGCGCAAAACCGCGGAGCTGCTGGTGGTGAAGGAGCGCAACGGAGTCCAGTGCCTCCTGGCGCCCCGCGGCGGCGACGCGCCGCCCAGGGAGACCTGGGGCAAGAAGATCGACTTCCTGCTGTCCGTGGTCGGCTTTGCGGTGGACCTGGCCAACGTGTGGCGCTTCCCTTACCTCTGCTACAAGAACGGTGGCGGTGAGCGCCCGGTGGGAGTTCTGAACGTGGGGGGCTACCTATCCGCACTGGTGGCTTGGACAGGAGCTGGGATGCACGTGGGAGGAGAACCAGGAGACACGGGGCAAGTCTGGGACGTGGGAAGGGACAGGGCACGGCTTCGGAAAAGGAAGGATTGGAGTCCCCATTGGAAGAGTGAAATCGAGGCATGACCTTGGACAGTGATAGACGCATGGGTGGACAGACAGAATCTGGGGCACCAGGTTGACCTTCTGATGGCCCTGAGGAAGGGGATGGAGATTTAGAGAGCTGTTGAAGGAGCACTGTGAGTCTGTGGGATGTGCCAAGGAGGAAGGACATGGTGGCCCTGCGTCCAGTGCTCTGAACCTTGAGGCAGGAACTTCTGGGCCAGGAAGGGATAGAAGATCTGGGTTTCCTGAAGGCACCCGGGGAGGCCCTGCACTCCACTCTTGGAGATAGAGATTCTGAGAAGCCAGTATCAGGAAGAATGCCACTCTCAGCTTGGTGGTGGTTTAGCTTGGGTCAGGTGCCAAGAGCTGGTCTGGCCCTTGAAGCAGGAGGTCTGGGTGATTGGGATGACGCCTCTGCCTCCTCAGGTCCTGGCCATGTTGCAGGATGTAGGTGGGGAGCAGCCAGGCTGCTGGTCAGATTGTCCACCTGCCCTGGAGTGGGCACCTGGTGATCTGATCACCTGAGGTCAGGCAGGAGGAGGACAAGGCGGAGCCCTGGGAGAGCAGCTTCGTTCTCCCTTCTTCCCAGAGTGCCCAAACCACCCTGGTCCTGCCACTTTGGCTGAGATGAGCTCAGAGGTGCTCTGCAGAAGCCTGGGGGAAATGACCTTCTAGAGAAAGAAACTGAAGGGGCAGGAGCTCTGGAAACCTCTCTCCTTCCACTGGGTCACTCTGTCAGTGGCTGCGACTTGGGACTTGAGGGAGGTCAGAGAAAGAGGGGAGGAGGGTTCAGAGCTCGGTAAAGTGAAAGCTTATGACTTTGTTCTGCTCTTTGCTTCCGTGTGTAGTCTGGACACTTGCTTTGGGACAGAAAGAAGTTGTAGCGGTTACCATAGGGACTAGGGGATGCTGCGTAAGTGGGCATTTGCCTCTTCCCATGAGGATGTTGACCCAAGGTCGCGACAGATGATGGTGATTTCCTTTGGCCCCTCCTGAGACGAGTCTGTCATGGTCAGACACTCTGGGACAAGAGAGCTAGGCCAGCGGTCCTGAGCTTCAGGAGTATCTGAGGTCTGGGGCCTGATCCCCGGGCACACGTGCCTCTCTGCAGTCTCAGGGCTTGGTTCTGGCCCCAGGATGGTGCCAGGCAGAGAAAAGATGAGGAAAGGGAAACATCACCCAGAGGTGAAACTTCTCCACGTCCGCCCGCTGCCGCTTCGCAAGTGTTTCTGGGTAGGTTTGAGCATTCTGGCCTTTTGGACCTAAGAAGAGGGAAAATGCAGATTCTATATATTTTTAGCAGCCAGGGAGATGATGAATGACAGACAGATTGAGAGACCTGAGGACACTCTATCCCACATGTCCTCAGTGACCGTCCAAGACTGCTTGTCCCTAAACCACAAAGGCTCTATCATTAATCAGCATGATCTGGCTGATTCCTCTCCCTGTGAAGCACAGTGCTGGGCCCTGCAGGGGCCACTAGCTGCATGAACACACTCCTGCCTGCCAAGAGCTTTCACCACCTACATCTTACTGCCACACTGCTTCAAGGTCTTTCCATTGTCACACATACTTGTTGAAACAAAAGGCACGCCAAATGGCCAATAGGACCAGTCGGCTAGATGGATATCCTAGGGCTTTCATCAACACTGCATACTTTCTTGGCCATGACCACCAACACAGTTAAAGAGCACTTGTTCTATGCAAGATGATATACCAGGTTCCTAGGGTACAACACAGAGCAAATCTGTCACAGGTCCCAGTCTTTAGGTGGAGTTGGCTGGAAGCTCCTCTTGGGCTTGCCAGCCCTACACATGGCCTATCTCAAGTTCTTGGGTAATTTGTGTCTTTGTGGGTCTACCTCCCAAACAGGCTGGGGCACGTGGAGGGCAGAGACTATGGCTTTTTTTTATACTTGTATTTCTAATTCCCATGATAAGACCAAGACCCTAGGAATGTGTAGAAGGTACCCAAGAAACCTCCAAGCCCTCAGAGACCTGCTGCCACATCCAGAAACAACAGAAACATTTAGCGATGACTGTGACAGCCCCCACATCAGGAGCCTTAGCTGTGGAGTCCTGGGTTCCAGTTCCTACCTGTGTGGCTCTGGCAACTCATAAAGTCTCAGTTTCCCCATGTGTCAAATGCTCAGAGCATTATTATGAGGGCTAATTGAAGTAACACCCATGGAGAGCCTGGCCTGAAGTCCAGCCTTAGGAAAGGGGGCTGCTTCCGCCACACATTGTGATGATATACACGTAGGTGAAGAGGTGACAAGCATTCCAAATGCCCAGAGGGGATGCATAGGAAACACTCAGAGGGGGTGAGTTGTGTTTGGGAGCCAGTTGCTCTGGAGGGGGGGTGGTGGTGAGGAATGGCCAAGCTATGGAGAGGGAGGAGGTATTCCAGCTGTGCCCCCGGGGTGGGAACATCAGTGGAATCATTTCTGAGCAAAGGAGAGATAAGGGAGGAGAGGCAAGTTGGGGCTGGGCTGCGGGGGCCTTGAATGCCAGGCTTAGGGGTGGGATGTCATACAGTGAATTTCCATTTCTGCTTAGGATGTTCACAGTTGGTGTCGGGGAGCATATGAGGCAGATCCTTTCACAACTATCCCTCACCCTCCAGGTCTGCTCACCTATTCCCCTCTGGCTTTTATTCTGCTGAGACCTCTTGGGTCCTTGCGGGTCAATTCTCATCCAGTAATTCTGAGGTTAGCCTCAGAGACAAGCAAGCAGGCAGGAGAGGGTCTCCTATAATTGTAGAAGCAGACAGAAGACCCACATTTGAACCCCACCCCTGCTACTCACTGTGTGCCCTCAGGCACAGCATAGCCCCTCTCTGAGCCTCTTTTTGCTGTTATGGCTGGACATGAGCTTAGATGAACCCCCTACTCAACCCCTTAACACATACACGTACACACACACACACACACACGATTCATCCCTTTCCAATGCCCTGGCCCAGGGCTAAACCAAAGTCAGGACTCACCCACCTTATTATTTAACAGCCCTCAGTCTGTGAGCTCTTCTGGTGCCAGTATTAACATAGTAACTTGCAATTCTGACTATTCATGCTGCCCAGACTGGAGGATGTTTTGAAATGATGAGGGTGCCAATAGTTCAGGCCCTTGGCTAATATTTTCTAAATGAATTACTAGGGAAGATCAGCCTGTCTGAACATCTTCCCAAAGGCCGGCTGCTGGGAAGCATGGTGCATAAGAAGTTTCAGGAGGGGAAAGCCGCTCTTATTCAGAGTCTTCTCCAACAGCAGGTTGGAAGAAGGCAGAGTCAGGTAGTGGGGCTGTGTCTAGGGTTCTAGATTTTTCCCTCCATACCTGTGATCTTGGTGCATGCTGATCTCCAGAGAGGACCAGGAGGGTCGACTGGGTGCCAGGTCTGCCCCCCTTCTGGGGAAAAGGCCACGGTGAATGAATTACCCTTGGAACGTGGCTGTTTCAGTTGAGACGTGTCCTGAGGACAGCTCTGAGCTCTGCATTGTGGAGCAACTACAACCTTCAGGTTCAAACAGGTTTGGGTTTGAATCTGAGTCTAACATTTGCTAGAAATGTAGCCTTGATCAAGTCACTCATCTTCTCTAATCTGAGTCCCAGTTCCCTTGTGTAGAAAAGGAGAAGAATCACGGCACTTTCTCGGAGTGGGGGACGAGGATGACATCAGAGATAATGTGTATCAGCCACTTGAAAGGGCGCCATGTAATAGAAGGTCAATACATGTAGTTGTTCATACTTTTGTTATAGTGCAATGATACTGCCTGCACGCTAGCCACAGGAATGGGACGGGATCCTGATTTAGGAGGGAGCAGAATTCATCCTAAGAGGAAAGTGATGGAGGGAAAGAAAACTGCAAAGTAGTCCCACCTGGGCCTGGGGCCCTAGCAAGGAAGAAAGACTGAGGAGCTGGGCTTTGCTTCGCATCCTTGACAGCCTGACCTTATCTCACCATAGATTCCTTACCTGGAGAGTGGGGATTAATATTCCTGCATACAGTCCTTCAAAGATTTCCACGAGATACTGTAGTTCTGAGCCTTCAGCAAGCTTCCCTTCCTTCCCCAAATAAGCTCAGTGTGTCAGGGATCCACAGCCCTTTTGGGAACCCTCTTGGCCAAAATATCTGGGATTCTTGAAACCAGCTAGGAGGTAAAGGCTGGTACAGAGGCCAGGGCATTCCAAACACTTACATCTGGCCTGGCTGCAGAGGGGCCGGCTACACCCTGAGCTTTCTGAGCCAGGACACTGATTGTTCAGCTTGGGTGCACAATGAGCCAGCCAGCTGGTGTGGCGCTCCGGCTGACAAGTACACACACCCCTTGGCAGGAATGAGGGGCTCATCTGGGACCTTGATCTGGGGTCACCAGCGTGATTTGGCCCATTACTCCAAGCTTGCCGAAAGTATCTGGAGAGACTGTTCCCAACAAGATGTGGTTTAATAAGGACAAATGTTACATCCTGCCCTGCAGTCCCCAACCCAACTGCCTAAGTAAGGATTAGATCACAACGCAAGTAAAGAAAGGCCCCCAGGCTTTTTTTCATTAACTGCATGTGAGTCACTGCTGAGATCCACTTATTTAACAAAAAAATAATTTACTAAATGCCTACCATATGACAGGAATATGGGGACAAGCAAAAGACAACCCCTGCCTTTAGGAAGGTCATAGTCTTCTCCTGATAGCCTAAACATTAATACCATTTTGGATTATATTATTGAAGGTATTATTTCCCAAATGAGGGAGGTGAGGTCCTAGTCTGTTCTTTGTGGGCCATATTTCCCTCTGCAATGTGTTCTGAGCATCCCAAACACTCTCTAATTTGTT